AATAAGACGGTGATGGGTTAGAATAGATATCGCAATGAAGGAGGGTGAATCTTGGGAGCAACACATTTTCTTTAATTCTTGACAATGTGACCTTAAATTTTTCTATTTGGCAATCACTTCTTTCGATCGCGATTTCTTTCTTAAGTAGAATCTTGTAGAACGTTTTCCATTTTGCACAAATCCAGGGAATTTGCAGTTTCATTATCACGATCTTTAATTAACGAGCGATGGGGTGACATTTTGTTCCACGAAGACGGGAATAGGACTGAAAAATCAAACATGTTTGATCTCTTTACCATTGCTTGGTGTCTTGGTGATTCTGAACGCAACTTTCATGATTGTACGTTTAGACAAAAACTGTTGTACGAAAGCACGGTTCACGACTCTAGCGTGTATGCTTGCGTGGCTCATCACGGCAGTTTAAAGCGTGAATTGTTCACATTGATTTACCCGTCTTAAACGAAACACCGACCATGAATGATCTAGTTGTCGAGGGCTGTGCCGTTTTGAGTTGTTTTATTTGAAAAATTGAAAAATAAGAATAGGGCACTTTCATCAAATAACCCAAGAAAAACGTAAAATAAGACGCTGATGGGTTAGAGTGGATATCACAACGATGAATCTTGGAAGCAACACATTTTCTTTGATTCTTGACAATGTGACCTTCTTAAATTTTTCTATTTGGCAATCACTTCTTTCCATCGCGATTTCTTTCTTAAGTAGAATCTTGTAGAACGTTTTCCATTTTGCACAAATCCAGGGAATTTGCAGTTTCATTATCACGATCTTTAATTAACGAGCGATGGGGTGACATTTTGTTCCACGAAGACGGGAATAGGACTGAAAAATCAAACATGTTTGATCTCTTTACCATTGCTTGGTGTCTTGGTGATTCTGAACGCAACTTTCATGATTGTACGTTTAGACAAAAACTGTTGTACGAAAGCACGGTTCACGACTCTAGCGTGTATGCTTGCGTGGCTCATCACGGCAGTTTAAAGCGTGAATTGTTCACATTGATTTACCCGTCTTAAACGAAACACCGACCATGAATGATCTAGTTGTCGAGGGCTGTGCCGTTTTTAATTATGTTTTATATGAAATATTGAAAAATGGAATAGACCACGTTTATCAAATAACCCAAAAAAGACGTAAAATAAGACGGTGATAGGTTAGAGGGTGGATATCGCAACGATGAATCTTAGGAGCAACACATTTTCTTTGATTCTTGACAATAACAACTTCTTAAATTTCTCAATTTAGCAATCACTTCTTTCGATCGCGATTTCTTTCTAAAGTAGAATCTAATAGAACCTTTTCCACTTTGTATAAATCCAGGGAACTTGCAGTTTCGTTATCACGAAATTTAATTAACGAGCGTTGGGGTGTCATTTTGCTCCACGAAGACGGGAATAGGACTGAAAAATCAAACATGTTTGATCTCTTTACCATTGCTTGGTGTCTTGGTGATTTTGAACGCGTTTCACGATTGTACGTTTAGACAAAAAATGTTGTACGAAAGCACGGTCCACCATAGTGGTTCACTCTCCGAGGAATACCCGGCATTATTTCCCTCAAGCGACGAATCGTTCGATACGTTTCGTCGATTCGTCGGTTGCCCCTTTATGAGGCCACGGAGGTAAGAGAATAAAAATAAATAGCCAAGGTGAGGGAAAGGACGAACGGGGCACCCCTCGTTAGAGAGCCCCGAGAAGGTCGCACATCCCCCAGTGCGCAATTCCGTTGTCGTGGTCTGCACGCTCCGACGCCCGAAGAGTTCCCCCAGCGATTACTGCACGACAGAGGAAGAAACATCCTTGAAATTTAACTCCGCCACTTTCCGCCTGATCTACGGATGTGCGAAATAGCCCCTATATTGCCAGTCCACCTTGAAAACAAGGGAAACTGAGTAGCACGAAAAGGGGACGGAAAAGGAGATCGTTCTTTTAGGTCATCCTCCCGGCGAGTCCTTTCGGTAGGATTTATATCTGGTTCCAAATTTTCGCGGGGATTTTTCTATATAAATAAACAATCTAATGGCAATGTTTACGTTTGGGAAATTAATGGTAAACTTTTATGTAGGAAAACAAGGGGAAGTCAATTGTTTTGGCTCCGAGGACTGACCATGGGGAGAATGGAGTCATAACATTGAAAAAGAAAGTCGTAATACTCTGATCTTATCATTTCGGTAGAGTCGTCATTCGTCGTCGAATTTATTCGGGAACTCAGATCGAAAGAAACTATGCAATGAAGATAAGAATATGGAGCACAGGAGCTGTGATGGATTTACTTGCTTAATTGATTACAGATGTACTCAGAGTGAAAAAACGGGGCTTAATATGACAGAGAAATCATATGTATGTATGACGTGGTATTTCTATTGGGAAATGAAATGTCACGCTATGTAACCCCAAACACGTATTTCACATTTTATCTACAGAACAATGTCGATGCAAGTACAATCTTGGTTTGATTAAATTAATGAATAACGTCAAAATCGTTTGACCATCCTCACATAATATCACGTCCTAAATGTCAAGTGTATTAATTAATATCCATTCATTGAGATAGGTAATTGCCGTCACGATCGGATCTAAAAGCCGTATGTAGAAAATCTGTGATTAGACTTGGGATCAAACGATAAGAACATCGATGCAAGTACAATTTTGGTTTGATTAAATTAATGAATAACGTCGAAAATCGTTTGACCATCCTCGCATAATGTCACGTCCTAAATTTCAAGTCTATTAATTAATATCCATTCAATGAGCGAATCGCCGCCACGTTCGGATCCAAAAGCCGTATGTAAAAAGTCTGCGATTAGACTTGATATTAAACGACAAGAATATCGATGCAAGTACAATCTTGGTTTGATCAAATGAATAACGTCGATAATCGTTGGACCATCCTCACATAATGTCAAATCCTGAATTTCAAGTCTATTAATTAATATCCATTCAATGAGGTAATCCCCGCCACGATCGGATCTAAAAGCCGTATGTAAAAAGTCTGCGATTAGGCTTAGGATCAAACTAGAAGAATTCGATGCAAGTACAATCTTGGTTTGATCAAATGAACAACGTCGAAAATCGTTTGACCATCCTCGCATAATGTCACGTCCTAAATTTCAAGTCTATTAATCAATATCCATTCAATGAGAGAATCGCCGCCACGTTCAAATCCATAAGCCGTATGTAGAAAATCTGTGATTAGATTTGGGATCAAACGATAAGAATATCGATGCAAGTACAATCTTGGTTTGATCAAATGAACAACGTCGAAAATCGTTTGACCATCCTCGCATAATGTCACGTCTTAAATTTCAAGTCTATTAATTAATATCCATTCAATGAGGTAGGTAATCGAATAGGATCGGATCTAAAAGCCGTATGTAAAAAGTCTGCAATTGGACTAGGGATCAAACGAGAAGAAAAGTGAAAAATATCCGCAAGGAAGGTGCGAAACCCAGAAACCGCGGTAAAGAGGGTTGCGACAAGAGCTTTTCCACGCAAAGGGTCAGCTAAAGCGGCTTTTCGCAAAATCGGGTAGTTGACGCGGATCCCAGAGATAGCACCGCGATGCAGAGCCGACCCGGAGGATCCGTCTAATTTATTTACACGCCGCGCCGCTTCAATAATGCATTCCCCCTGGGAGAACAAGACGTATAGAATTAATCCGATTTAATTTCGTGACCACGGGGAGGCTGGAGGCGACAGACGTAACCCGTCGCTGGGGGTCGGCCATTTGTCATGCGGTGAATGCACTGCAGGAAGGCGTCCCAATAAATGACTAAATGCTAATTTAAGACGCAAATTCTCTTTCGGGAGGGTGAAGTCGTTTAAATAACAACGGTGCTGTCCCTTAAAAGACTAAACGGATCACAGACCGATTCCTCCTCGTCAAAGCAATTATAGGAATCCGACCATCTGCAAACGGAGCTTGGATATTTTTAGACGATTAATATCAATGCACATTAATTATAGCACTTGAGCGAAGGACGGTTGAGTATTATTAAACTACTTTATGAGGGGAATACATTTCATTGAATATTTTACTCTTCATCCAAAAATTTAATTGGCAATCATTTCGGTGGGAAGCCGAAATACTTGTTTAACGCGTTAACAGATTAGATTAAATTTATAACGAATAGCGTTTTAACAAATCATTAAATGATAATTCTCGCCCAAGAAAATCAATGGGACGAGGTATAAGTATTTCTTTTCACCAAGCCATAAGTTAGGAGACACTTTTAAAATCAAGTGTACTTCCGTGGGACTGAACCTTCCTATTACAAAATAAATTCAACCGGTATTAATAATTTCTGCTTGTGAGGGAAATTATTTCTAATTCCTCGCTTTCTACATCAATTATCTATTTTAATTAGCAATGATTCCGGCGGATCACCTTTATACCAAACCATAAGTTAGGAGACACTTTTAACATCAAGTGCACTCCTGTGCAACTGAACTTTCCCATTACAAAATAAATTCAACCGTTATTAATCATTTCTACTTGCGAGGGGAAATTATTTGCATTTCCTCGCTTTCTACATCAGGGATCTATTTTAATTAGCAATGATTCGAGTGGATCACCTTTCTTTATACCAAGCCATAAGTTAGGAGATACATTTGAAATCAAGTGCACTTCCGTACGACTGAACTTTCCCATTACAAAATAAATTCAACCGTTATTAATAATTTCTGCTTGTGAGGGGAAATTATTTGCAATTCCTCGCTTTCTACATCAGGGATCTATTTTAATTAGCAATGATTTGAGTGGATCACCTTTCTTTATACCAAGCCATAAGTTAGGAGACACTTTTAAAATCAAGTGCACTTCCGTACGACTAAACTTTCCCATTACAAAATAAATTCAACCGTTATTAATCATTTCTGCTTGCGAGGGAAAATTATTTGCATTTCCTCGCTTTCTGCATCAGGGATCTATTTTAATTAGCAATGATTCGAGTGGATCACCTTTGAACTACTAGAGGAACTAACCTCGAGTTGCTGGAAGCGACGCTGTTGTTGGAACGAGATCGACGGCTCTTCAGGGAATCGCCGCGGTTGACGACGTTCTTCCCGGCGATGCTGAAATGTCGCAGCATGTAGAACTCCTCCTCGACCCCCGTGTTCGGCATGCTGGCCACCCTGGACCTTTGCTGAGGAAGACACAAGTAATTCGGGCGGCCTGAGGACCGACTTCCAGGAGTCTTCACCGACTGCGACCTGCTGTGGTGCGGACTTCCATATCTGAGGGAGGAAAGGAAGAAAAAAGTTCCTCGATTAACAAGGTCGAGATAAAAAGGAGCCGCGGGAAGATTTAAAGGCACCTTGTCTCGGGGAAAGAAAAATCTAGCAGTGAGCACGAAGAGAAACATTTCGATTCAAAATCTGGCGCAAACCGGGTGCTCCACACGATTCTATGCATACTGCGGATGGGAACTTTGTGGAAATTAATAGCACCGGGAGTTCTTGCCGAGTATGTAATCTGTGAATGTTTCGAAAATTCCGCCTTTAAACTTTTTGCGACCAAAGGCCGTCCCATGTTGGAGGCTTCCTGCGTACGAAAGATGACTACCCTGTAGCCAACATCAAAACCCTGAATGACTTGAGGTGGAGTGAAACCCCCCTTAAATCAGTCGATCCGAATAAAACACTTTTTTATAAGGGTATTAAGCCGAATCGTCCGAAACTTTGACGCATGACCCCGTGAACACCTAGGAATTATCCTGACACTTTCAAAATGTGGATTTTTGAAAAGAATTCTTCAACTTAGCCCAGACCAAAAGCAAGATGCCGTCGAGCTCTTATATTTCAATCGATGTGCAATTATTAAAGGCTCTGATATGAGAAACAAAAGTGTCAGTACGATTGTACGACAATTTAGAACACTTTGGAAATCGAGAAACTCGCATTTGAACGGGATAAAGGCAAAAAGGGTGTCTTCTGCGCTTCTATGCTAAAACGATGGTAACGCGAGATCTCAGGATGAAAATGTACTTGACACGGAAATCACAGATGGCATAGGGTGGCACTCTGCAGTCAATTAGGGCCTTAGAAACCATCTCTGCCAAATCAGAGATGAGTTGAGAGATTCACGGGAAGGATCGAGCGACCGCGTCCTGTGCGACCTCCGGTGGAGGATGCAGACGGCTAATGCACTTGCCACCTATTACAACTCTGGGTAGCCGGAGAACCGGCTGAAAAAGTGAAGAACTCCTCACAAAAACTCCTAAACCCTGTATCTCCTCCGAAAAAAATCTCAGCCACTAGCTCGAGAGATCAATTTAAACGGAACAACCTTCCCCATCAAGCTACCGTGGACGCAGATCGCATCGTGAAAAAAAATTCACAAACATCTTCTACCAACAAGTGCAGCAAGCTCGATTTCGATTAACTGCCGATGATGATTTTACCAAAAATGGCTGCTTTCAGGTGATCCACCTAAACCTGCAAAGGGGCACAAAAGTACAGGTAAAACGGAACAGTGAAGAAACACCAGGAAGTCGCCAGATTCTCTGAAGTGGACCACCTAAAGCTGAAAGGGAACACAAAGGCACACACGAAACCATTGGGAAAGCGAGAAAGAGACGGTGATACAAGAGCTAACAACTTACTAAAGTTACCAATAAAGTCAAGAATATTTCGCAGTGCATCGATCTCGTATAATTTATCCAGTGAAAATGTATTCAATTATACATTACTTGAGGTGACAAAAATCTAATAAATATATCTTGGTTAAATGCAGACTCGGGAAAATCTCATGAAAACGATAGTTCACCGTCTCTCCCCGTCAATCCAGACAGAAGGATATACAAAAAATGAGAGGGACAGCGTGGCGAAAAAAATGGATGACTGTCCATTCGAAAGAATGGAAGGCCATCGTAGTTGCCCTCTTCTTAAGGGGCCGCTTCGGCATATAGCCTCTTCGACACTTGTAGTCTCTTCGGGCAGCGCCCCCTACGTCTCGAACGCTTGGCAATCCCCTGATTTTTCGAATTTGAAAAAAAAAAATTACTCCGCGAGCAGATTCAAAAGCTAGCAAAACGACGACCTGCGATCCGAGGATGCGCAGTCCGTGCGTATTGCAATTCCCAAGCGCGGTCTAATTAATTTACATCCCTGAAAGAAACTTATCGCGATCGCGGGCGTCCGGGAGTACGCTGAGCGAATAATTCACTTTCTAGACTAAAATGAATGACTCGCGTCAATCTAGACGTTTCTTGCTAAAGAAATTTCTCGGCTCCAGTAAAATTATTTTTTTTTGGTAAAGTTATTTTTTTCGCTCAGCGTAGAACCCCGGGCGCAGGACGGATATCCTCCGCGCTTCCGGAAGCGCGAACGATGTAAAAGTATAGTATATATGAGTACCCAGGTTCGGAATCTCTCCCCAAACCCCAAGGAAGAGATTCCGTCCTGGCCCTGCCTACTTACATCTAGACATTCACTCCAGGCAATTNCTAGATTATCGTCAAAAGCGTTAATCCGCTACTACCGGATCGCGAGATATCTCGTCAAAAGCGTTAATCGGCTACTACCGGGTCGCGAGATATCTCGTCCAAGGTAACGAAAGGGTTAAACGAGAAAGAGAGAGAGAAAGCAAAGGTGAGGTTACCTGAATTCTCTGAAAAAAATGCCAGCTCGGGGGATGCATCGGGGTCCATTATCGCAAGCTCAGCCGCGGAACTCGTAATCTCTCGTCCGAAAGTCAAATCAACCCCCTCGGGAGGTTTTCGCGAATCTCGACCCTTCGACTCCACCAAGAGCTAAATTACACGGCGAGGAGAGCTTCTCGACAAGGTTTCGGGCAAGACGAGCATATTTTCGTCCTTTCGGGGGCAAGTCCCTCCGCGGGGGCGGAAAGACTCGCCCCCGTAGTCCCAGGGTCCTCGCTTGGTGGTTTATCGAAAACGACGCGTCGTTTCGAGCTGGGTTCCGAATTTGGGAAGCACCTCCGGAGGGCGTAGAAGAGGGGTCGCGTCGACGAGGACGCGACCCCAGGGGTTGGCCCCTTTATGGCCACTCGAGCTCGGGATTTCTCCCCAGAAAAGCTCGCCGGACCAACGACTACAGTTTTCCTTTACTCAACTACCTTATATCTTGCCCGTAAACTACCGAGTAAACCTCGATGCCGGATAACAGGTCCGCGATAAACTTTTTATTTCACCATCGGCTCTGCCTTGTCGAAGTCGAAATTAAAACGGGCATCGATTCGTCCGGCGCAGAATTTCGCACTCCGGTGAATATATTTAACAACACGCGGCTCGGTAGCGCATTAAATTGCAATTCGGCGAAAGGCCAGGAACCTCCCGAGCGATGAGAACGCTAATTTCCGGCTGATAATAAATCCCCCTTTTAAGACCCCCTGCCTCCCCCATTGTAGAGGTGATTAATAAGGGACGAGCTTTAAGCAATTTTCTTAACGTACCTGTGGATTGGATAGTTTACCTTCTCCGCCGAGATGAAGCTTCCTACTTAACTACTCTTTAAGAGGCCCCGTAACCGGATGACATAATGGAACGCGCTTATTAGAATGGAAACGGAGACGAGCGGAAGTAATTACCTTGGAATTTCTTTCATAACTCGCATTAAGAATACGGAACGGGATACGAAGACGCCGGAAGAAACTATTATCCGACCTCGCGACCACTCGGGTCGACTCGACGAGGAAACCCATCCCGACGTCCTCTGTCAGGTCCCTACCTAACGTTTTATTTTAAGAAATATTAGGAAAAGAAACTCTCAGCGGCGCGTACCGTGCTCCGAAACGCTCCTAGGGATGCGCTTTCCTTCGCTCCTTGTCTTACAAGGAAGGTATCCCAGGTCGATCTCTCCGATTTGATTTCTTTTATAACATGTTATAGTAGACTAAAAACTAAGCGACACGTATTTTTTTTTATCTGCCATTAAACACTTTAAGGAGGTGAAACCACCGTCCAAAGTAAAGCATGTCAAAAGGCGATTTGGCAGCTTAACCCACAAGAACATAACATTTTTTAACCAATCCACCTGGAAAAGCTTTCTCATAACGAGAAATGAAAAATATAATTTTCTCAAATAAAAAAAAATTAAGGGGTGAGCCACCTCTCACAGGTCTTACTTTGGATGGTGGTTTCACCCTCTTAAAGTGGTTAATTGCAGATAAAGAAAAATACGTGTCGCTTAGTTTTTAGTCTACTATAACATATTATAAAAGAAATCAAATCGGAGAGATCGACCTGGGATATCTTCCTTGTTAGACAAATACTGACACTAAAAAAAGCCCACTCCAACGGGCTCAACAGTCTCAACTCTGTAAGCTCTGTAACCTCAGTCAAGCTCTGTGCTCTCAACCTGCGTGCAGGGTACCTGTAACCCTGGGCGAATAGCTCTAACAAGGAAGGTATCCCAGGTCGATCTCTCCGATTTGATTTCTTTTATAATATGTTATAGTAGACTGAAAACTAAGCGACACGTATTTTTTTTTATCTGCCANTTAAAACGTTTATAATGTATTCGGCAGATAATATTTAAAAAATACTTGTATTAAAATGAAACGAAATGTTTTGTATATCTGGTAGAAAAATATTACGAAAACACATGGAGGTAATATTATATAAATACTATAGAGATAATATTCTAAAGTTTTGCAAATATTTCAAATGTCTCCTAAATATTTACAAAACGTACGATATTCGTTAAATATATAGAAAGTATAGGACGAATATTTTGTGCTACTAGGGTCATTCCTCATCCATGCCTCCGAAACTTTTTCCGCGCACTCTTCGCCGGATAATCTTCGAGGTCGCTCGGAAATGAATAATCCTTGCAATTTCCCCAATTTCTCGAATCTTTCCGGGACTATAAAGTCCCGTGGAGGGTCGCCATCGACCAAGATGGCCGACACCTTGCAACGATCTAAAGTCGGCGATACCGCCTCGAATCGATACCTCGTTCCCGTCGGTGATGGGTTTTTCTTTTCCCTCCTCTCCCCCCGTTCTTATCCACATTTTTATTCTTCGCGAGCCTCTAACTATAACGACTCGCGACTCGTTCTTATAGCGCCTGGCGTATCCGCGGACGTTCCATGAATATTCCGCGCGGTATTCCACCCGACCCTGTCGTTCCTCCGCGCATCGACGACCTCGGAAAATTCAAAATACATCGCGCGGCATTCTTCGAAATAATGAACCCTCGCGGTCGCATTAAAATGTGACGTGCTCGGGGAACATGGCCCCTCGTGGTGGTGCTCCAGCGGTAAAAAGGTGCAT